ATCATATCGTAGTTTAAATTGAGAAAGTACTCCCTACCATTTTTCGTTTCAAACAATGATATGTTTGTTTCACAACATGTTAACGCGTAAAGCATTAAAGTAAGGTCAAATAATCATTCTATCGTGTTACTGACGCGAGATGAACGTAACATACAGTGAGTTAAGCGTTTTTGAGTTACAATCCACTTAAAGGGCGGTATTTATCAAACTCCAAACTCGCTGTTCAAGCCATTATTAACGATTGCCTGGAAAAGCGAGAGCACCAATCCGGTGATTCATCAAACTTTACAATGTTGTCCGATGGGAAGTTTAGCCATTTCGGGTACGGCGGTCGGGCAGCCGAGCCAGATCTCGACAGGTGGGGCTCCGCTGCCCTGGCCTGCCCGACAGACCAAACTTCCCATCGGACTATATTCTTCAGTATACACTCACTGAAATTTCGATCACTGCTAAATTTACCTGATTCGAAGCCTGACGAATTCGCTAGCCCTACTCCGTACCGGGGAGTATCCCACGGCTTGCAAACGATGAACTGTGACAGTTTATCAGGATGGTTTAGCGCCATAACCACCCTGTGCACCACATTTGAAATTGTTTTTTGGCAGCACTCTAAAGTGCCACCAAGGACAATTTGGCGCGAGTCGCAAGATATCTCACAGCTAAAGCCACCTAAATTAGCTTTTCTCAGAAGTGCAACAAAAGTTGCCATGCGTGGAGGCCCTAGCAGACTCTATTTGCTGTTACAAGATCTGCTACTGTCACCAGTTTTGATGACAAAAGCATCGTAAGCCATAAAAGCTCCTTTTCAGTGGAGCGAAATCTAAAGCGTATGAACACTCTGTTACTCGAAAAATCCTCTACGGATCACCGCAAACATATTCAAAATTTCTGTGGCGCCTACGAGCGCAGCATCCGCGCTCACATCTGCAGTATGTCTCCAGCAATACTTCCTAACAAGCATGCTAAATTGGATAATTTACCACTATTTCCTGATGGCATATTGCTAAGGTACGCTTTTAATTGAGAAGCTCTTAGCTACGGCAAGAAGTTTATTCGATAATCTACTATTGAAGAAGTTCAGTGTATAGTGTATGCTGCTATGCATCTTTTATATAAAGCTGAATGTCTGTTTGTCTGTATGTCTGTATGTATTTCTGTATGTGCGTATGTTCCGAATAAAAATTTTCATTTTTGAACCGATCCGGACCAAACTTGGCACACATACACCTCGGGCGGGGCGGGTGTCGTAAGCTACTTTTCGTTATCAATTGATATCGATTTTATCGAATTTTTGTAAAGTTTGACCTGCAGGCTGGGAATTGGCACGGGGGAAATATCGAGCATGCTGATTACGAATACAGTATTAGTTTTTAAAATTATCTTCTACGTTTATCAATTTTATCGACACTAGAAGGGGCATATGGAATGGTTGTACAGGGATAGGGACGGAACTCTACCATAGTGTGACAGGGCCGGGCGGAGCCGGATAAGCCAGCTAGTGCTCGATAAGGAATAATCATTATGAAAGAATGGAAAGCTGCATACTGAGTAGCAAGTTTGGTAAAGTGCAATAATTGCGGAGAAGCATGGGAATGGTTGTGGTTTCGATCTCCTCCAATAACTTTGCTTTGCAAGATAGTCCAATTCGAGGTTTCCTATCGGTTAATTCGTGGTTTCGTTGGGAAAATGATGCGAAGCTGTTGGTCAGCTGATGTTATGAAAACTCAATTATCATGATGGTTTCGACCACATTACTACCACCTCCAGCAAGTTGACATCATTGTTCCGCTACCATAAATGAAGATAGCACTCTATCTATGAATCGCATACGTGAAACCATCAGATCATGGCTTGTAATGAAATATTCCTAACCACTTTTTCATTTGAAACAATGATGCGATGATCTTCTTTTTTCAGCTGTTAACCCAAGATTGGTAAAACCTTTTATTAAGACCAACGTTTCGGCGATTTCGCCTTCTTCGGGGTCTGAAAAAGTCGAGTGCTTAGAGAAGATTCCTTCAGCTACCGCATCATGACCGAGAAACAAGCCTGACCTGTCAGTAAACCAAAAGAAATTAAATAACGAGTGCAAGCCAATGCTATCTAACCGTCAACAATGATCGAGTGTTTATTACGCGAAAAACTGACCAATGCTTTCATTTACAGACCTAGTGATCCGGTCTCGGCCTGCTGTTATCGCAGAAGCCACATAGCGTCTGAGACGGGCCAGTTCTTGAGTGATGGCTAAGTACTCATCTTTCCCATTCATTTTAGGACTTTCAGTCGCGATCGAAAACGCCTCTAAAGTTTTGCGTGTGAGGATCTCGGGTTCGCAAGCCAAGATTGTAACCTCAATGTTTATCTCTGCATCATTGTGGCGCTGTCGGAGTGCATGCCCAATGGCGTAGTAGGATTCGATCTTCTAAGCCCGTCTGAGTGTTCTTTAATAAGTGTGCATAATGGGCGCCCAGTTTCACCTATATATGTTCTCTGCATGACTGACAGGTAATATGGTACACTACACCAGAAACCATACGGTCACCCTGCTTTCCGAATGGGCAAATAACACAATTGGAGTCGTACATAGTCTGTCATAGGCTCGATTGCGAACAAGTTGATGTTTGAGATTGACAGGTGGTATGTCAACGACTAGTACCCAGTCCTGAAATTCTGCTCGGTCTATCAACTTTCTAACTGTTATACTTAGTTCTTCTGACACAAGTAGTAGGCAAAATGGAATTTTTGTTTCGGTTGCTGCAGTTCTGGTATTGTCGTTGCGCTTGCGTATTCCATGGTTGCGCTTTTTGGTAGGGTACCCATTTGATCTTGCTACCGTTTCTGCCAATGCTAGCGAACAGATTTTTTCTGTGGTTCCGGACGAGACGTTTGCAGCTGTTTTATACATGTTGCCAATTACCGACTTTTTGATGTGGGCCAGATGCGCTGAAACGTAGTGCACTAGTTTCACTGTTTTTGTTTCACTAGAAGGTTTATGAGTGAGAAAGGTAGTGTAACAAAAAATTTGTCTCATCTAGCTAGGCTAGAGATAACACTATGATATTTATTTATCCTCTAGCTGCTTTTAGCCGGTCATTTTGTGATATTATCTTATAATTAGTGGAATATTGCAACAAATCTAATTGTTTATTAGTTCGTGCAGAACAAATCGATCAATATCAATTTCATTGCGATATAGACATTGCATCATAAGAGCTGCCTGGAACCTGGAAAGACTTGGTTTTTCAGTCCAGTAAAGTTAGCTTACGAAATGCTCAAGCTCAAATGCAATGCATTCTTCTCCCACTGTTACCATTGATGTTCTAGGAAAAATGCTTTTAGATTCTGCGGGTGAGCCAAATTCGCCCGTACTCGGCCAAGTTGACGATCCCTTTCCCACCCCCTCACCCCTCCCCCCATCAATAAGTGCATAAAGGGTGAAACTTCGAAGTGAGAGAATGCCTCTTCTACTAAAAATCTAAAATGTGCATCTCGTGAGTTCACACATTTAAAGTGTTGATCAGTGTTTGGGACCTGAATCGCGCAAGGTGCGGTCGGGGCTTTGAATGCGCATGCCGCGATTAAGATTGCGGAGTCCTGCAACGACTCTGCCTCTCCAACAGCTGGGTTCATACTAATTCCCATGTTCCGAAACTGTCCCCGCACAGTTTTTCTATGCTGGAGCTGTTCCGGAACTGTGCAGCATGCGCTGCGACCGCCCCGCACACGTTTTGAACGGCGGGAGTTGAAGAATTTTGACCGTTTTCAACGGTTTTTCTTCCAGATTCTTCTCATTTTGGCCTTAATCTTCTACCCCGCTTCTCCTTGTGTGAGAATAAAGTGAACTTAAAACGGGGTTGAAAAGTGAACGTTGTTCTTCTCTACTTATCTGAAACATGCACATAAAAGAGAACAGCGATTTCTTCAACTCGGTCAAACTCGCAGCTTTTCTCATCACTAGGAGAAGCGGAGTAGAAGAGAGAACGGAGAAGCAACGATATGTAAAAAGGAAAGGGGCTGCGAATGCCCAAAAACGAAATTCATCAAAAAACAAGAGCAAAGTTCCCATTTTCGCGTTTTTTGATACTTCGCAGTCCTAATTCGAGACAGATGCCTGTGGAATACGCAGCGAAGACCCCTGAAACAAAATAGATTTGAGCAAAAAGAAAACGAAGCGAGAATGGACAAAAACGCAAGAACAGACATTTTGTCGGATACGCAGAGCAAAAAAAGGGCTCAGTCTTCACCTCATTTTGAGTGCGAAGTTCTGCTGATCAAAAAGGGAAACGGGGTAGAGGAATAAGGCCAAAATGAGAAAAATCTGGAAAAAAACCGTTGTAAACAATCGAAATTTTCTAACTCCCGCCCTTCAAAACCCGTGCGGGGCAGTTACAGCGCATGCAGCACAGTTCCGGAACAGTTCCAGCACAGTGCGGGAACTGCGCGGGAACAGTTGCGGAAGGGAATCAGTATGAACCCAGCCAACCTCAACAGAACCTTGTCCACCCGTTCATCTCGACGTGAAGAAACTTCCGAAAAACTCACTTTATTACTTCCACGCTCTCCGGTAAAGACTTACCCCTGACGAAGTCGGTCAATCTATTTCAGGAAGCGAGTGCGAATGGTGCACGGCAGCGCAAGTGATCTTTCATCGTTAGAGCTCTTATGCCCGCGCACTTGGTCAATTTTCTTCGTCTTTTATTAGTTTTCAAGAAAAAAAACAAAAACTCTGGGGGTTGTCCACGCCCTTCAATAATGTTATCATTGTTCCCTATCTTTATTAAGAATGTTATGGGCTAATAATGAGAGTTTATGAGTTGATACACGAAATAAGCAGCTTCAAAAATATCACTGCTGCGACAAAAGAAAGGCTTCTCTCATGTCTCTTGAGGGATTTGATCAAAATGCACAATCTTTCTGCTCATCAAAGGCAGTGGCCCAGGAGAATTGGAATTGCGAGCTTTGCCTCCCTGCCTGGCCTCCTGGATGCGCTGAGTCCCGGGTTATGCGTTTGACTGCGTTTGACACTTTTTGACTTGAAAAGTCAAAAAGTGCTTTACGGCGTTTCCCGTCTTAGAGCTTGTTAGAACCAGTTGCAACTCAGCCGCTACTGGCTGCAAAGATAAAAACTTTCGAAGCGCTAAAAAGCTTGTAAGTTTTTGACAAAGATCAACTGTCCAAAATACTTCGAAGCCAAATTTTGCAATGGTCTAGCTGCATACTTGGCCTTATAAGAATCAGAGATCAATTATAGTTTTGTTGACATAAAATAAAAACTCTAGTAGTCAATGGCCCTGCAGATTCTTGAAATTTTAATTTTCCAAATGGAACATTTTAATGCAAGACTCTCTTTGCAGTTATCAACTATAATCTCCGTGTTTTGAACGAAATGTTGTAAGATGGAAGACATCGCCAAAAAGCTCCTCGCGGATTACTAGTATTTTCAACTTGCTCTTGTCCAAAATTCAAGGACCATTATCGGAGACAGCGTCCGACACCGGAAATGTTTCTCTATTCCCTAATGTTGGAATGTTTCGTGAATGCTTTTATAAGAAAGATGATAGAATCATAAAGTCTCTTACTTACTTTACTTCATCCAACGTGTATGGAAGTTGTTCGTAAGTGCTGGAATAGTGTTTACAATGGATATCGTCGTTCATAGTAAAAAAGCGAAGATATAACCTCATTTGACGATAAATTTGGTAAGACACTTCGCTGCGAAAAACTTGATTCCGCTGCAGGTTTACTGGGCATAGCAGCAATTCCTCCAGTATAACAAGAAGGAATAGCGATTCTCGATTTTGTGGCACGTTGAGGAGAAATAACGAATCTCGATTTTTTGGCATGTTGAGGATTCCGTACTGCCATGTAATGAGATACAAGAATAGGGTCCATATTTACAGAAGGAGACGGACATCCAGAAGATGAGCTTGTTTCCACATTAAGTTCGTGCCCACTGGCAGGCGCATCAACGTCTAGACGAAATCTACTTACAGAAGTAATCGTCGATGGAAAGAATTTACCATTTTTTCGTTGTGGAATAATTGCTTTTGTGATTTTCGGTGAGTGCTCCCTTCCTCTATCATTATTCTGTTTCCTACGCGAAAGACTAGCCATTTTTGATACTATATAGCATTTTTGTAGCGGTGACGGATTAGAAGTTTTACTGATCTTGTTTTCCTATAAGTAGACACATCTGTAAATGGATAAAATATCTGCTTCAAACCGATTATGGGTCATACGCAGGACCAAGCGATACCGCCCCCCCCCCAGGTGTCATGCCTCACCTGGAAGGGGGGGGGGGGTCGCATTGAGGGGTCAGGTATGGGAGGGAGTCGTTATTGAGGTGTTGATGCTAGCGATAAATGATATTCGCTAACAAAATCAGGTAGATTTTATGCAGATTTTTAGCACATTGATGTTTTGGCCCACCATCGCATACGTAGGCATAATGAAAGAGCCTTAAAAGCATAATAGCATCATTTTCGTAAATAGGATGTCAAATAGCCCCTGTAGGCTAAGTTTCGGCAAGTTCTGAGGTTTACAAATATTGGGGCCACCCTAACAAGACGATCATTTTGGAAAATGTTAATTTTGTTTCAAAGGTGAGTCAGCTAATTCTTTCTGCACTTATTACAAAGAACTGCTATTTCCTTACTCACATTAAAAATCCTACTGTGAATAATTTTCAAACTATGTTGAGAGCAAGCCAAAATCCCATTTGTCCAAATTTGCCCTTTAATATCTCAGACTAGAGAAGAGCAGTCAGGCTCAAATTGCTTTTGTGAAAGTTATGAGGATTAAACTACCGAGTATATTCATTCTTGCCGCCTTCTGCACTTATTACAAAGAAAAATTTTGTTCACGTACTATCGCAGACTTGTCACCTTATCGTAACCAACGTCTTCGCGTTATACTCCATTTGCTTAGGTAAGGAAAAACGACTAGTTCCCCAAAAAAATTTTTTGAACGAAACTTCTGCTGTGTAGAGAAGAAGGTTTAGCAGTGGCAACGATATGAAAAAAGCAGATATTTGAGTTTTGAAGGTGACTTAATGGGATGTGGCATGCAGTCTTCTTCAACCCGGAGTAGGCGAAACATTTAAAGTGGAGCAGCGCGTACGCACCGCCACAGGATCTCGAGAAAGATTGGAATGAAGAGAGCAGACTGCAAAGCACCTCAAATCGTTGCGAAGCGGACTCCCGCCAGTTCAATTTCCGCCTAAACTGAGTTGAAATTTACTACAAAAGGGTGTAACAGCCACAGCCTTCAAGGGTTTGTGCCGCACCCCATAAATTCACCTTCAAAGAGAGTTTTAGCGAACAGTTTACCCTTTGCTTCAACCGGATAGGCTGCTGGAAAGCGGGTTCTCATGACCTGGGAAGCGACTGCTCGCGCCCGCGACGCAGTCTGCGTCTACCTGCGACATGCTCTTTGATCACTTTCTAGCCTTAATTGGGAACGGAGCCCCGCCTTTCAGCCGTCGATCTGAATGAAGCAAAGGGTATATACGGTTCGATAGCCAAAATCTCGTAGTTTTTGTAGAGGTAAGCTGAATTCCTCTTCTTTTTTTAGTAGTTGCTGAAAGCACGACTACTGTAAGCTAAAAAACGGGACAAATGGACTTTGTCTGGGTCCTAATTTCACAGTTTGATGGTTATTTGAAGCAAGATTTATGGTAAGGGCAAACAGGGAGCAGTGGTTTGTATTGCGTAGAAAAAGAGGTAGCTAATTTACTTTTGAGATATTCTTAACCGTGTATAAAAATGACCCTCTACTTGGGAATGCGTATTGGAAACCCTCAGCATTCGCTAGAACTTGGCTCACAGGGGTTATTTGACATGATAATTAGGAATATGCTACTAACTATGCTTGGTAGAGCCTCTATGTCATTCCTACGGCAGCCAAATGAGGGGTGGGTGAGGGGGTATATCGAGACAAATGGTGGGGGGAGGGGAATTGGGTCTTCTTGAAACTCACAGTGAGTTTTATTATACTACAAAGATATCAGGTTGAAGATTTAGGCCGTATTTTCACGATAACTTTGCCGATGCCGCAGGCAATCATTTACGAGATAGTCACAAATCAAAAAATGATTTCAACATGGTGCGGCAACGCGAATGACGCATGCGACGTCGCAACTTTCACTTGCTTCATTTTCCATAAGAAAAACAGTGTTTTTCATACCTATGGCTACCATGCGCGTACTAGGTGGATTTAGTTACCATTCGATACTGAGGGCTTGTTTCTATCTCCCATGAAAACGAAGCAATCATACCCAGATGACAAAATTGATAGGCTTCACATTCAATCGGAATTCTGGGTAAAGCTTACTTGACTTGCTGATCAATAGTATAGTGCTGATTTCACGAAATGAGGGCACTTTGTAGATGATCGAGCAAAAATGCATGCTTTTTTGCCGCGCGCGAATTCGCGGTCCAAAACGTGTTCAAACTTTAGCTTATCAAATGCAGCTCTCATCTCTTTTAATTTTTATATAAATTGCTCTTCATGAGATGTAATCATGAACTAAGGTCCAAAGATAAAAAATAGGGCGTCATTATTAGTCAAAACCATAAGCTGCAATAAGAGTAATTCTAGGTTCATCAAATAAATTCCCTCGATTTCTATTTGGAGCGGTTACCCTGGTGAAATCATTATTTTTTGCAACTATTAGGTCATAATATTAGGTCGTTCCGAAAGTCCTTGCGCACGATTTTCAAAAATTCATAACTCTTCAAGTTCTCAACGAATTCTTACGAATAAAATTTTACTCAAGAGAGGAACTCATGCTCTTTGCAACTGTGTCTGAATTGTTCGTTACTGTATACAAATGAAGGAGGTAGAAGCTCAAAACCAAGATCACTCAAAATTTGAATTCTTCGTGGAGGGTCATAAAAATCGAAGACCTGCAACAAAAATCGAAGCAGTATTGTAGGATCTTTCACCAGCTCTTTCGAACAGTGCAAAGTTTGCGCCGATTGAGTGTCTCTACGAAAAGTTATGATTTCCCTGAAAAATGCCGAAATAGATCAAATTCGCCCTTTTGTATTGATTGCTCGAAAATCGTAACTTTTCATAGAGACGCTCAATCAGCGCAAACTTTGCACTGTTGGAAAGAGCTGGTGAAAGAACCTACAATACCGACTGCTCCGATTTTTATTGCAAGTCTCCGATTTATTATGACCCTACACGAAAAATTCAAATTTTGAGTGATTTCGGTTTTGAGCTTCTATCTCCTTCATTTGTATACACGAATAATTCAGGTACAGGTGCAAAGAGCATGAGTTCCTCTCTTAAGCAAAATTTTGATCGTACAAATTCGTCAATAATTTAAAGAATTAAGAATTTTCGAATATCGTGCGCAAGAACTTTCGGAACGACCTAATAGAATCGCATGTTCGTACATTAAGCGCATTCGAAGAAGACCTCTTTATCTTTGTTCTATAAAAGTGCGCCGGTACACGGAAACCTTATATGACCCCCTTACCTCAATTACTCCTTCTTTTGGCACGTTTTTTGCCATGTCATTCTGCCCCATTTTTTGCTTATCGACATTCTCGAAAAACACATTTGAGAAAATTTTAGGACAGCTTTTCACTTACATATATTGTGTCTGCGACATTCGCTGTCTCCTGAAAGTTTTATGTGTCAATTATGAACAAGAAAAACTGCGTGGATGAGACATTGCCCACCGGACACTGTGTTTTTTCCGGCGCTTTGGGTGGTTGCATCAAACGTGCTCGTACTCTTGGATCAAGCAATGGATTCTTTGGATCATCGTCCAGAGATTTCAAATTGGTCTGGAAACAGAATTAACCGTAAGTTTCGTTTTTATTATGAATCAAGGGCAAATATTGATATAGTGAACTGCTAAAGTCTTTGCACAGGAATCTATCATTCAGACACTAAGAACAAGGCGCAGAAATTTTTTAGTCGAACAACTATACGAAATAGGATTGGCCATGGACCGTAGGGAATCAACAGGGCAGGACTTTGCGTAGCCTGTGACCGTATTCATCAACGAACCCGTGAATTCCGCTATTTATTGGGTCCGCGAACCAAGTGGGTTCCGCATTTTCGCGATTTACTGGGAAAGATTGGTATTCACATATGCTCTGCTGGATTGCTATCTAGTACGTCAGCGATGTGCTAGTGCCTTGGCCCTTTGCGGTATGTTATTGCATGGAGCTATATGTGTGCAACTCAATTTTTTGCTTGAATCTATCACAGATACGCAAGCAAACAGCTTTTTATACAGAAAATCCACAGAACAATTCCAAATTCTTGCACATTTTCTTCGAAGTGCCCAAAATTATCAAAAGCAGAGAAAAATTGCAGTTTTTAGTCAAGAAAAAATCTTGGAAGCTATCGAATGATTCGTTTGTTTGAGGTCTCAGCTTTTTGATTTTTCATTGTCCTCTACCCTCCGTGAATAGTTAAATGAAGCTGAAAGGTAGATACTGCGCGTATATGTGCAGCAAATAGCTCCTATTATACAGGAGGTATGTCGCAGATGTCCGCGCGGGCCACCCGCTTGGCAATATTATCCCCAATTCCTAATCGTATTATAAACGTTTCGGTAGGTGGTGGTGGTTAATGTTATCACCTTATAACTGATTTCTTGTATGAGCGTACTCAAACTCAATGGAGGGTTTGGGGGAAGGGGATGGGGAGTAATTGATTGCTGCGAACAAAATGGTCGAATAAGCAAGCAATTTGTTTTCGCTCGTGTTTGACTGAAACAATTCTTAAAATTTTCTAATACTTCTATTAGCCTTGTGAAAAAATTCTTCGGAAAGAGGATGCCGCCGCCCCTCAAACCACCCTCTCAACTCCCTTCTACGATATCGGGGTCACGGATCAAAAATTCTGGGAAGCATCCGAGAAATCCTTTTGTCGCTCCACGAACAGAAATCGTATGCCATTGCGAACTTCTGCATTCACCATAAAGAGCATTCATTAAAGAAGAGGATCCAAACGCTCAGAACGATATTGGGACTTGAGAGCTGGCATATCTCATATTAGAAAGCTTCGCAATACTACTGTTGACGCAAAAATTTCGTCACTGGCAAAAAAACGTTTATCCGTGGCTTTTTGAGATGAAATGTATACCGTTACACTCGCCTTCGAACGCTGATTCTGAATCTGACTTCCGTTTCTGCTAATCTTTTCTCTGGAAGAAGTTATGAAAAAATTTTGCGCCAAGTTTGGCCGCGCGACTTGAATACAAAATAAACACCAACATGGTAACATGTTAACACGCATTCATTTTCCGTTCATTTTCCTTTTTATAGCCAAATTTGGCGCGGAAATCCTTCATAAATTCTTTCAGAGAAACGATTAGCAGAAACGGAAGTCATGTTCGGAATCAGCATTCGAAGACAAGTGTAATGTATACATTTCATTCCAAAAGGCCACGGACTCTAAGGGCCGCATGCACTAACACCCCCGCGGGGAAGGGATCGCAACTCAAAAGAAAGCTTCATATCCTGAAGCTCCAGGTATCTGAATTTCACGTTGTGTACGTAACCGTAAGTATTCCTACTATCCTTCACTATGAACACATTGAACAGCAGCGAGAAGCTGTACAAGTCGCAGTTTCCAGCATTTGTATGATCCCTGACGATCCCCGGCGCTTTTATTTGAAGTCATTTTTCTTTCTCCAGAGTTAACGAAAAGTTGCCAAAGTTGTGCAGATTATCTAACCCAACACTGCTAAGCATGTTGCTGATAAGAACAAGTGATGTAACGGTGTCATGAAACTTGCGATGAACCACAAGTCGAAAGCTGTGGTTTATCGAAAAACTCGATTTTTCAAAAACTCATTTGTTCTGCTGCTGCTTGGCATGCTTGGCACTGTTGTGTTAGATAACTAGTACAACTTTGGAAGGTTTTCGTTAGCTTCAAAGAAAGAAAAATGACTCTGAAGAAACGCGCCGGGGATCGTCAGGGATCATACAAAAGCTGGAAAATGCGGCTTGTACAGCTTCTCGCTCCTGTTCAAGGTGCTCATAATGGAAGATAGTAGGAATACTTGCGAACAGGTAGATAGCGTGAAATCTAGATATCTGGAGCTTCATAATATAAAGCTCTCATCTGATCCCCTCCCCAGCGGGGTTGTTAGAGCATGCGGCCCTAAGTATCATACCCTTATTAGTGTGGCTGAGGGTGACAACACTGAGTGTCGAGTTGCGATGCACAGCCGAGTACTCTGGTAGAGCCTCCCCCCCCCCCCTCAAGCTGTGAAGGCGTTCGACGTTGTTTCGGTAGGATGCTTAGCCAAGAGCCGACCGGGCCTGATCTCCCGCCGTCTGGCTTTTCCAGTCGCTAAGCGGTTCTTACGCTCCACACCTAGGCCAGCAATTAAGAGTAGACTTGGTAAATCTGCTCTTGTAGGGGAAACTTCTACTATTCCGTCAGCAAGAAAAAATGGAAAAACCCCTGTGCATCGGATTCCACCTACGGCGCCGGGTGGTAGCAATAACGATGTCAGAATTCTCAGGGGGCCTTTTCAATTGAACGAAAACGACACGTCTGCCCAGACAACACGCCATGGAAAGTGTCTCATGCTCTGCACCTACAACGCAGGACAGTCTCCATAAACGCCGCCCTCCATGCTGTTATCGACGCTGCAGAGCCCATCAAGTACCACGTCAACGCTCTGCAAGAAACGGAGTCCAGAAAGAAGACGTGCGCAAGATGATTGATAAGACCCTCATCATTCGTGGTAAGAAGGTTTCATCACAAACATTGGATCCTGCGACTACGCATCTACGTCGGAAGACCATCAGCATCATCCTGCTACCCTCCGACATCTGCAGCTGATGAATCAGAACTTGATGCTCTCTATAAAGACGTGAAGGAGGTGTCCGCAACGAAAAGACCTTTTATAAGTTTGTTGTGGACGATTCAACGCGAAAATTGGGATGCCACTGGAAAAGAAATACAGGATCGGAAAGTTTGGATATGGGCTCCCGAACGAAAACGGCAGCTGTCTCGTTGGGCTACTCTCCGCCGCACGATTTTTCCATGTTATTTCCATCTTCATGAAGAAAGAACATTACCAGTGGACATGGGAATCGCCCAACGGAACGACTCACGCGGAGATCGAATCGACCGCATTCTCACTAAGCGAAGTTGGAGCTTGCTCGATGTCTCAGTAGTTCCCTAAAAGGTTACCTGCGTGGACCACATGAGAGACGGTTTTGGGGGTCATAGAAGTCTGCCGTGAGTACCGATTGCCTCTCATCCTAACCTTTGTCGACTACGAGAAAGCCTTTGGCAGCGTCGAAACCAACGCCATTCTGTCAGCGCTAATCGATCAAGGAATGGACCGCTTACGTGAGAACGTCAGCCCGACTGCTTAAAGGCAGCGTCCAGGCAGATCTGGACCTATGGGGCTTTTACGTGGAAAGTACTTTTGGGGCCCTAACTAAGGCACTGCCCAAGCGGCAGCTCAGGTAGTGCTGTAATGGCTAAGATATTCCCCTCGAAACTGGACCCCGCGACCGTGTTTCGCATGGATTCATGGCGCAAAGCGTGGATCCTGGCGCGAAACTGCCATGAATCCATCCGAATACGTCCGCGGGGACCAGTTTCGAGGGGAATATCTTAGCCATTAGAGCATTACCTGAGCTGCCGCTTGGGCAGTGCCTTAGTTAGGGCCCCAAATGTACTTTCCACGTAAAAGCCCCATAGGTCCAGATCTGCCTGGACGCTGCCTTTAAGGATTGTACAACAAATGCAGCTGTCAGTGCGCACGTCACGGAACCGTGCCGTCTAAAGAGGGAAGCTACCTAACTTAGCTCGCGCTTTCGGAATAAGACACATATATTTGGAATCAGCTTCGAACGCTGTTGCCAGATGTGCTGTTCCCAGCTGCCGCGCATAATTCGCAACGGAGTTATGAGGCCTCCTCCCCTATGACTCGCTCCAACCGCAGGTCTAAGGGAAACACAACAGTAACTACTAGAGGTCGTGTGTTGAAATGGTAAGCGTCTCGCTCCATAAACTGATGGTCAGGGTCTCGATTCCTATTGCGTGTTTTTCGTTTTGCAAGTCCTCAGCACTGTTCAGAATACACTTTTGTTAATAGTGTATTCAAACTGCGGCGTACTAGTTTCACCATAGAAACTTTACATTTTGGATTTCTCAAATGCTGCCCCGTTTTCGATTGCAAATGATTTTTGAGAGGGCTCGGGGCAGAACATCTTCGATTTATGATAACCCCACTCACCAGATGCACCTAGACATGATCGAACACTTGTGAACCATGTTTGGCTTTCTGGACTACCTTTGCAAAACGAAAAACACGCAATAGGACACGAACCCAGGACCATCAGCTTATAGAGCGAGACACCATTTAACCACCCGACCTCTGTTATTCATTTTCGTGTTTCCACTAGACTAGCCGGTAGAGCTAGTCATAGGGAAGAAGGCCTCATAACCAGGGTCAAGCAAGGGGTGTGGCACACGATCGCTGGTTACGACCCCCCCCTGGACTATACCCTTAAGATAGCATTACTTGGAGGCCCTGTCAAACATAATGGGCAACATATCCATAATGAGCATGTTAATTAACCCCTGTAGACAAAGTTTGAGCGAATTCTGAAGATTCAAGATACTAGGCTACCTAAGTGAAATGGTCAAATTCCAACATGGTTAACTTTGTTTCAAAGGTGAATTAGCTATCCGTTTTCGCACTCAAGACAAAGCACTACTCCTTCTTTGTCCACCTCAGGAATCCCGCTTCAGAAGACATTTAAACTGTGGAATTAGAAGCCAACCAAAATCTCGTTTT